AAAGTAAATTACAGCATATTAGGAAAGCTGCTGCAGCTTGTTTTAATCACAAGTTTAAATCCAGCAAACACCCTCTTATCCCCTTTCAGACACTTTGGCCTTCTAATATTGTTGGGGTATCTGTTTATCAACTGTTTACCTTTTTAAAAAATATCCACACAGCTCTACTCATGGATTTTAATGGTAGTTTAAAGTATTTCTTTTCTAATGTGAAACTTTAAAAATAGTGTCTTGCACAGAAAAGCTAAGAACCTTTCAAAACCTGGTGGATATGGTTCTATTATCAGGATTAATCAAAATTGTTGCTATTGATCCTGCAGTTAGAGAGACTTCATTTAGCAAAAAGCAATTTCAGTTAAAGCCTTCATTTGTGAGATCAGATGGTGGGGAATGGCATGTGTTTTTCATGCTTTGTTATTAGAGAGAGAGAGAGAATGAGGGATTTGGAAAAATCCCTTTCTGGTTATAATAGCTCATGTTCACCTCAGTTATTTAATTTGTTTTACAGAATGGCACAGGCAATGGATATTGTGTTTCAAAATAGGAGCACTAAGGCTTTGGTGGTCTTTTCTCAGATTGATCCAAAGCCAGCCTTTCTGGACAGATTCTTGCTGCAAACTCTTTATAACTCAGCTTCATACCTGGGCCTCAGGTATAGGCACCTGATATTGCTCATTGCATATCTCCTTAAGATTACTTTTCTTTATGAAGAAGCTATTTTACAGGTCATTTCCAAAGTAAATAGAAGAAGGGGTCCCCTCACTTGGCCTTTTGAAGTTACTTTAAAATAAAAAGGAAGGATGCAACATTCAGAGAGAATGAATTTGACCTATGCTGGAGGGTGAAATGTAAAAACAAAAAAATCAAGCAATGAAACACTCTCTTTTACATTATCATCTTATCTACACAATAATTCTGTGAGATAAGCAGTGTAGATATTAGGTATTAAAGCCCCATATTACAGAGGAAGAAGTTGAGTCAGGGAGATGTGAGATAGATCACTCAGAGTAACTGGTAGCAGAGGGCACAAGCCCAGGCCCACATTTTCTGACTCTGGTCCTCATTCTGGCAACCTGGACTCCAGCTCAGAGAACATTTTGTCTTGCCTATAGTAGGTGCTTAGTAAAGATTTCTGGTGCTGAACATAAAATGGTGGGAGCAATTTTAACCTCATTCCCATATTTTGCATTCTTGCAGGAGCATTCCTGATTCCCTATGTGGTGTTTTTTATTTGTTGTGGAATTCCCGTGTTTTTCCTGGAAACGGCTCTGGGACAGTTCACGAGTGAAGGTGGCATTACATGTTGGAGAAAAATTTGCCCTTTATTTGAAGGTAAAGATTGAGTTAATCAGAAAATAAAATTATGCCTGAGTGATGTTAGGTTATGACGAGTATGTGAGGTGGACAAAGATTTAAATCATTCCCTTTCCTTGTTCTTTCAGGCATTGGTTATGCAACACAGGTGATCGAGGCCCATCTAAATATATATTACATTATCATCTTGGCATGGGCCATTTTCTACCTGTGCAACTGCTTCACCACCGAGCTCCCCTGGGCCACCTGTGGGCATGAGTGGAACACAGGTATGCCCTCAGGGAGGGTCTCTCTTCTGGTCCAGCTGGGGGACCTGGAATTGGGGGTGTGTCTTTGTCCTGGAATCAATGCTAACCTCTGGGCTCTCTCTGTGAGTCCAGATTCCACTGAAACTGTAGGTCAGTTCTGCACTGGGCCTGGGTCCATGCTATAGGTTGCAGTGCTGAAACCTAAGCTGAGCCCTGGTCCAGGAATTAGCGTGGGTAGAAGATGATGATGCTTTTTCTTCGCTTTGCCAAATACAGAGACTGAGCCCTTTGCGGGCAGAGTGGGGACATGAGGGATTCAGCCTCTAATTTCAGCCCTGCTTCTCTAGGCATTGGATTTTCCTTTGTGAAATGAAGGGGTTAGCTTAGGGATTGCAAATGGGGCCAGTAAGCCAATTAGGCTTTAGGTCAGTGACCAACAAATATAAAAAATTTATTTGACAGCTCAAATTGAAAAATTGGACGACTTCACGTGAAAATCAAGATTTCCAGCTTCTTTGGAAAAAATTGAAAAGATCTGGCAACACCAGACCCACATTCCCACATTCTTGCTTGGCAGCAATGGTTGCAGCAGAGAGGCAGCTGTTACCTTAGGATGAGGCCACAATCCTCACCCAGTCCACTTTGCTCATTTACGTTACCTGTGAAACACAGGTAGACATTTGAATTCACTATCCCATCCTACCACTTGAATAAGTAACTTTTTAGATTACTTTAGATTCTAATTTGGTATTTGCTTTTCAATTTGTCATCCTTTCAGGACCGAGTCATAATCCAGAGAAGGCAAATTCATACCAACTCATATCTGTGGTACCTATGCTTAGAGCTTACACCACTCATCAATCGTAGAACTCTTGCCTTTTGAGTTTAGTGTTGACCTCAGAACCCGTCTCAGCAGTGCTCCAGGCAGCTACTGCCTGACTGAAATTGACAATCATGCTGTAAGCTATTCACCATCCCTGTAGTTAGGTTGTCCCTGGAAGCGGCCTGTCATCCTGAAGGCTGAGCTATGGCAAGATTGGGTAGGATGTTGGTCACCAGCAGAAGGAACAGCAGGTATTAGGCCTAGAAAGTGCTATGAACTAGCTTCTTGCCCTGCATAGCTTTGCCCTGCTCCCTCTCCTGTTGCATTTTGTGGACTTTTCACTGTCTCTTTAAGGACCTGGTTCTTAACCTTTCTTTGGTCAGGGATCTCTTAGAGATGTTTATCAAATTAAAATTCAAGGACATATTCTTGGAGGCCTGTGAGTCCTCCATGGTAATTTAATTGTGTATATTTATTTTGAGGCTACTCTAAAAATATGCGCAGGTTCTGGATCATCTGTGCAACACCTTATAACAGGACAGTCAGGATATTTCAGTGTCTGACTTTATTTGTGTTTACAATTGAAGATGTATTCTTGTAAATAGGATGATGGCAGCCCAGGAGAAAAGAGCAGAGAGATTTAATTCATAAATGGTGCATTAGTACTAAATGAAGTTCCAGTTGAGTTTATTCCTATAACACCTCAAGTTATAGGAATAAAGTTTAAAAAAAAGCATGAACAGGGAAAGATGGTGATAGAGTTGAGTCTCAAATAGCACATGGAAAAATAGGCAAGCCAAGCCCAATATAGACCCTGCCTCCTGCCTGTCAGTTCATTTCTGTTGAAATCCATTTTAACATTACAAAATGGCATTATCTTACACACCTGCTTTATGCTATCAATTTGAATTGTATTGGGTCTGTAGTTTAGTTGGTATTTATTGGTAAATTTAATTCTAGATTTATAGTTGTATGAATGCTGTAATTACAAAGACTTTGTAACTCGTTATTTATTTGTGCATGATTAATGATTATCTTAATAAGAATACCTTGTCAAACTTAAGTGTCTGAGAATGTGTTTTACTATAGAAAAAAGAACTTTGAGAAACATAATTTTAGAGACTCAGACAAGCCTTTGACAGGGAAGTGGAAAAGGGGGAAGGAGATTCGGGAACAAGGCAGGAAGAAAGTTTGATAGGGCACATTGAGTGAGAATAAGAGAGAAAAGGCTCCCTGCCCCCCAAACTTTTCCTCCTGTTTGAATCAACCAGACCAAGCCTCTCAAACTGTTTGTAAGTTATTGATTTTACCCCCACTGTTCTTTGAGGCGTGTTTACTTGGAGCAGTTGCTCCATCAGCTCTGAATGTTTTCCAAGACCCAGGCCTTGTGGAGGTTAATCTTGTATTTCTTGTCTTGTTTCCACTGTAGAGAAATGTGTGGAGTTCCAGAAACTGAACATGAGCAACCACAGCCATGTGTCCCTGCAGAATGCCACCTCTCCCGTCATGGAGTTTTGGGAGTAAGTGGAATCTGACTCATCTCCCTTGTCCTGTGGGGGCACCGTCCTTCTTCTGCTCAGTTAATATTGCCCTCACCCGTGGAAAAAGCCTGACCCTTCCTCCAGTCTTGCACTTCCTGGCTTCCGTGGGCATTTAATGGTGCTGGGAGCCAGAGTGGACTCTTTAGAGGCTCCCCAAAGGGACAGCTGAGAGAAATGCTTTCTTGTTCCTTGATGACATGTCAGCATGCCTTGTTGCTTGTGAGGGCAAGAAGTGATTGGTAAAATGTTTAAAAATGTATTTTTAACAAAAGAGAAGATGTTTGCAAAAATCTTAAGTCAAGAGTACATTTAGCCTGGAAAGCAGACCTCTCCAGGGGGAACAGGTGAGCTTTCTTTCTATAGCTGAAGTAGATGAACTTTAATGGATAGAGGTTATCGAGAGGCAGGTTTCAAATGTGCTTAAGGAAGAGCTTAGTCTCACAGCATTGTCTGTATGTACTTCTGAGAGTTGTGAGCACTCTTCCCCAGAAGTGTTTGACCAGTGTAAGGCTGCTGCCGAGTGTTGTTGGGGAGGTGTCTGAATCCGCAGACATTACAGGCAATAATTGTAATTCCCGGGAGATGGGAATTTTTTTTATCTATGTTCCAAAGGGGCTTATGACCTGGGAGTTACGGGGCTGCCACATATGGTTGTATTAGTTGTTCGCTGCAGACCCCTAGCGGGGCATTATTAACACTGGGGAGTGTGTGCTCCAGAATTGTGCAGTGTCAACCTGCATAACTGCACACGATGGCCCTGATTTAGGAGCATCTGCAGTAAAAGTGGGGTCCCTTTCCCACGGTATTCAAGAGGCTTCCTTTGTGGGTCAAAGGCTGGCTGAATGCTTTCTGACTCTTTTTCATCTGAAAAAAATCTGGTTCATTGAAGAACCTCCGCTATCTTAATGCTCATTACTAGTAGCATAGAGGAGCAGTGATTTTGTGAGTGATTTTTATTTCTTTCCCAGGTACCATTCCTCTCCTCTCTTTAGAAGTCATTATGCTGAATTTAGATTTATCATTCTCATGTTAATGCTATATGCATATTCGAAACCCAAATAGTACCCAGGTCTTTCTTGTATGTTTAAAAATTTTACATGAACGGTACCCCTTACTTACATTTTTACAATGAGATGAGACACCGCGGCTCAAGTCTTTGCAGGTCAGAGATGGTGGAACTTCAAGGCTTGGTTTAGGAACCCAGCCTAGGCCTGAATGGGCGGTTGCTCAATATTGATTTAAAGATGTGTCTCTATGATACGTTTAGCTTTGGTTCATTCTGTTTTTCCTGTTGTATAGTATTTCAATGTATGAATAGACTTCATTGTATTTAGCCAGCTCCTCTGGATGGGCAATTAGACTATCTCCACTTTCCCACTATTATTAAGCACATTGAGTACTTCTTTGCTGTGCTTCTCTGTTTGCATAAGTGAAGGTTTCTAGTCCATATACCTAAGAGTGGAATTGCTGGGCAGGAGGGTACATGCATTATCAGTTTTATCAGATAATGTCAAATTGCTTTCCAAAAGGACTAGTTTAATTTTTTCTCCAAGCAAGAGTGTGTGAGAATTTCTACTGCTTTACATACTAGATCAGCCGTGGGCAAACTACGGCCCGCGGGCCGGATCTGGCCCGTTTGAAATGAATAAGACTAAAAAAAAAAGACCGTACCCTTTTATGTAATGATGTTTACTTTGAATTTATATCAGTTCACACAAACACTCCATCCATGCTTTTGCTCCGGCCCTCTGGTCCAGTTTAAGAACCCATTGTGGCCCTCGAGTCAAAAAGTTTGCCCACCCCTGTACTAGATAGTACTTGGTCTGGTCAGAGATTTTAAGTTTTGCCAGTGTAATGGGTATGAAATGGCATTTCTCTATTTTATATATGCATTCTCTATTTACTTGTGAGATCAAACATCTATTCATGTTTTTTATTCTCTATTTGGGTTTCCATGTCTGTGAACTTCCTGCTCATAACCTTTTCTCTGTGGATAGTTTGTCTTTTCTCATAGGTAGAAAATCTTGATACATTCTAAATATTAGTATCTAGGCTGCAAATGGCTTTTCATAGTGTATGGCTTTTCTTTCTTATTTATTTATGGCATATAGGAGTTTCAATTTTACTGAAATAAAATTTGTTAATCTTTTTGGTTTGCATAGTTGATGTCTTACTTAAGATATATTTCCTTAGCCCAAAGTTGTAAAACATTTTCTTCTAAGAGTTTTAAAGTTTTCTTTTTTCACATTTATGAGTATGATCTACCTGGAATTTTGCTTTTGCATGTGATATGAAGTAGGAATCCAGTGTTTTAAAAATAATAATTTCTCCAGCAATATTTACTGATCTGTAGGACTATCTTCCATATATTGTTTTCCTAAAAGCACAGGTCTCTTTTGGGTTTTGCTGTTCTGTTTCGTTCATCTCTTTTGCTAATTGTGTGACACTACATCTGTAGCTTTATTGTAAGTCTTGAACTGGTGAGGCAAGTTCCTCACTTTGTTCTTTTCCAAAATTGTCTTAATCTTCCAGATGAATTTTAGAATCAGAACAAACAACTCTGTAGGAATTTTGGTTGGGAGTGTATTGAACTTATAGGTTAGTTTAACGAAAACTGGCATCTTTTTAAAAAATATATATTTTTATTGATTTCAGGGAGGAAGGGAGAGGGAGAGAGAGACAGAAACATCAGTGATGAGAGAGAATCATTGATTGGCTGCCTCCTGCGCACTCCCTTCTGGGGATCGAGCCCACAACCCAGGCATATGCCCTTGACTGGAATCAAATCGAGGACCCTTAAGTCCACAGCCGATGAGCCAACCCAGCTAGGGCAAAATTGACATCTTTATGCTTAAGCCTCTCTGTCCATGAACATGGTATGGCCCTACCTTTATTTAGGTCTTTTAAAATGCCCAGAGGAACAGTGCTATTTAAATGTGGTCTGCAGAGGAGCAGCATTAGAATCGCCTGGTTGGAAATGCAAATTCTCCAGCTCTTCCCAGACCAAATGAGTCAGAGCCTTAAAGAGAGGATCTATCTAATACAGCGCCCGAGGGGTGGCTGCTGTGCTGGGTGGGTCTGTGTGGCCTTTTCCAGCCCCATCAGGACGTGATTTCTCAGAGGACTGTCACAGAAACTCCTTTTGGCCCCGCACATTTGAGGATCTGTAAAGCATGGTCTCTGTGCTCCCTTAGACGACCCATCCTAAAATCCCACACTGGGCAAGGTCTCTATGTAATTACTGTTGTTTGCACCATTCATTTCCTTTGTAACATATATGGAAAACCTCAATTAAGTAATTATTTATGCAATATGCTTGTTTATTGTCTGACTTTCCCATAGATAGTCATGAAGCAGCACCTTTTCTGGTTCTACTCACCACTGCTGGTCTATGGAAGGCCCCCAGTGAAGGATTTCAGGATAGATGCATGAGAGACAGGCAGGGAGGCAGTATTTCCTAGAAAATACTACAAAAGAAGTGTCAAAGTGGGCTCTGGCAAGAATTCATCCTGTCACTCAGCTCCCCAGCAACAGCCATGATTACTTCCAGGATCCCTTTACAATCCATATCACCTACCCATTTGGGCCCAGACTCAGGAGGGGACAGTTAATCTGTGTCTGCAGGTGTCCCTGGACCTTTTCGCCTGCGACTGGGTCATTCAGGGTGAAAGTCCATGGGACAGGGAACCCAAGGTTCTAGTTTTGTATTCATATTGCCTCTGCATCATCTATACAGTGTTGAATTCTGCATCCTAAAAGTCCTCCAATGCTGGTGTGACACTCACCCCTTCAGAAGGTGCTTCCGTAAGACAGCTCTAATTCATCTCTCCCCGGGAGAAGAGCTTGGAATGTAGAGACTCTGGGAGATGTGCATCGCATCCTGTGAAAAACTCTTTGGGCCACATAAATTTGAGAAGGGCTGAAAGCTACCTAACAGAGAAAGAATATCTGTTATCTTTGATTAACCCAAATTTCCAAATGTATTTTCCAATGAAATCTTTTTCCTCCCTCCACCCCCACCCTCACTCCCTGAATGCTGGCATTATACGACACATAGTCTGACAAATACTTTTCTAGGAGGCAGTTCTTCCTTAAGTTGAGCCGACACTTGACTTCTGAAGCTGTGGAAACAACAGGCCTTATTCCTTTTCTCTGTGACAGCCCTTCAAGTATTGGGTCAGGTTTCCTCAAAAATATTTCTTCTCTAGTTCTTGTGCTGTGGCTCACGGGTACCTCACCTCCGTTCACATCTTCAGTGCACCCGTTTTGTCCTTTTTCAATGCCTCTCACTCTGACCTCACTCAGGGCCACATTATTGGTCAGAGTAGACTGCATTGCATATTCATTCATTTGGCAAGTGTCTGAGCTCCCGGGGCACATAGGAAGAGCACCGTGCATTGCTGGAGGAGGCAGAACTATAAGATGCGGATCTAACCCTCTAGACTAGAGGTGAGACAGGCCGGCACAGATTACCATAAAATTCTCCAGAAAGTGCTGCTTCTCCGCCCGTGGACAGCCATGGCTTCACCTTGACCTTGGGCCCCTGCCCCCAACCCTATTTTGAGTATCCATTTCCTTTTTCAGGGCATAATTAAAATTACTAGCTTAGCCAGTGAAAACAGCTCAGGCCCTAAGTCAGTCCTGGATTCTGGCTCGAGCAGGGGACCTATAGGGTAGGAGTGGCTTTTCTTCCTGATTGCAGATTTCAAACTTTGGCCATCCTGGTATCCCTTAGTAACTCACTGTGCATCTGGTATCCTTGCATTTATTTAAATATGTTTGCAGTTCTAAATTTTGAGCTGGTGTCCTCTGGTGGGATTGAGTCCTAGTATGTGTGTAACCAGCATGGTGGCATCAGATGGACTTTGTTTTCATAGTCTTTTCTCAGTCTCTCGGGTCCCTTTAGTCTCGGGTTTTGTGAGCAAGTTCGTGCTTGCTATGTATGCAGTTGAAATCACTTATGCATGGTGTCCATTCAA